TCTAAAAGGAACGAAAGATGCGCAACACATCGATCTGGAATTGGCTCTGAACAAGGAGCGTATGCACAAGAGGATTAGCGCACGAAGACATAGCGTGGAAGAGACTATTATGAGGGAAGGTATTTCTAGTCTTCTATCCTAGCTCACGAGGGCTACAACTGAAATGTATAACTTGTAACAATATAACAAACATGAATATGCGGCCTTGAACTCTCTAGCAACGCTTCGGAAGACCAACGGAATAACAAGTCATGAGGAGAACACGTCCTGGAAAAGAGCGGTACGATTACTATTTCGCTCCAAACTACCACAAGGCTACACATATACCTGTACAACCCGTTCGAATACAACAAGACCGTCGACACCATCATCGACTTGACTCCAACACCAGGGCCATCCCATGCCATCCATCCATCCAGTCTAATTGATAAGCCCCCAAGCAAATAACTCCCGCTAAATGCAACCCATCTCCCCGAACCCGACAAGATCGAAACCTCTTCAATGCGCCGCAACCAAAAAGGTATTCGTAATGAGACAAACGACCATAACAACAACACCGTAAATGCTCAAAGCAAGCGCCAGATTACGCAATAGGCCCCTTCTGAAATCACGATTAAGATGTCCCTCGCTCGTAACATACCCCTCCGCCTCTCCACTCTGATACTCATCTTCGTCGTCTTCGTCTTTGACAAGACGTTGGTGGTGTGAAGATTCTGGGTCAGAAATCTTGTAATAAAACAAACCGGGTAGAATGAAGGAAATCGTCGTAGAACCCGTGCTTCCAACATACGCCAGTACTTTCTCCAGACTAGAAACGGTCATGGCGGTGATGAAGGAGAGGATGATGAGGACGGTGGAGATGACTGCGAATTTGAGGTCGCTCATCTCGCTGCTCTTGGGCGCGCCGGGCTTGGGCGTGTTGTTCATGAGTGTGTTTCGTGAGGGGCTGCTTTCGCTTTGTTTGCGGCCGCCGGGGCGCCACTTTAGACATGCGTCGATGCTGGCGCGGCAGGGGTGGATTTGGAGGGGGTAGGAGAACATGACGAGGATGACGATGGCGAGGCGGCCGATGGTGCTGGCGGCGGCGGTGGGGTACATGGATACGATGTTGCCGTGTATGTTGTCGCCGTAGGATAGGTAGCCTGTGATACCGGTGAGGATGTACAGACCGCATGCACCTCCGATGGAAGCGAAGATGACGGTGGTTGTTTGGAAGTGCGAGTTGTCGGCTATTTCGTTCAGGATCGAGAACATGTTCTGGTGGCATGTGTAGGCGAAGACGATGACGGGGAAGGCGGCGAGTGCGGAGACGGGGCCCGCCCATTCGAAGACACGGACGTTGCCGCGGTCGGCTATCGTGTCGCCTTTGAGGAAGTGGGCTACGACGAGTATGACGAGGTAGGCGATCGAGAAGAGGGCAATCACGCTGGTGTACTTGAGTGAGTCCAGGCGGCGCAAGAAGGACAGCGGAATGACGATGAGCCTGGATTGGTTAGTACACACCACTCCGAACTTCATAACCAGCACCTACATGAATGCCGTGATCCAGAACTGCCTGTCGACCAGAAAGGTGATGTCTCCAGCGCCCGGCGCAAATCCTCGAACCACACCCGGCATCAGATCTCCGATGATGATCAGATAGCTGACGGCGACGCCGAAGCACTTGACCGCGATAGCGGCGTCGAAGATGATAGACAGGTTCGGGTATGTCATCTGAGACAGCGTCGCAAAAGATACATGTCCGCGGTCGATGTAGCGCGCGCATCGCGTCTGGAGGTAGAGGCCAAAGCCTGCGGTCGTGCCAGCCCATGCGATAACGAAGATGCCGAGGAAGATGCCCATTTTGGAGAGCGCGGAGGGCATGGCGAGGAGGCCGGCACCAAGGACTGTGGACGGTCAGCATGATCTCGTGTGGGGTAGCTGGCATGGGCGTACTGGTGTTGGCCAGGTTGATGACACTGGAGATCCATGTCGCCTGGCCCTTGAATCCGACGTCCTGCTTCCCTCTGCCTCTCCTACTTGGGTCAGCTTTCAGTCCGATAAGAGATATACGAGGCTATCGTACCGTCGCCCTCTCAGCGACCCGGTGCTCGAAGTCATGGGGTCTGCGTCTGTTGGCTCGGGGCCGATGGCGGAGTAGGAAGCCATGCTCTGGGGTGCGAAATGCGCGGTTCGTGTTATTGCGCGTTCATCCGTTGCGGGTTGGCGGTGGTGCTATCTATATTGCGATGACGAGCACAGGCAAGCGAATGTGATGACAGAGCTATGGGAGCTCGAGCTGGCAGTGAAAAGCGAGGGCGGGAGTGCTCCGCTGACGTCTGGTCTCGAGGCCCCATAACCCGGGGGCTTATCAGCGGCCGCTAAAATTAACATCCGCTCCGCTCGAGGTACGCGCCCGCGTTTACACGGCTGGGCGAACATAAACATCGAATTCAGCACCACCATGGACGAATACGAGGAAGCGGTTCTGTTCACATTCTCACTGCTGGAATCGCGGTTGGATCGCCTGGAGTATATCCTGGGCGGCCCGCAGGACAACACCAAGGACAAGCAAAAGACCATCCCGGATCGCATACACAGGATCGAGCAGTCACTGCAGCAGCTGGCGGGCAAGACTGCGCTACTCGATGAGGCCAACAACTTACGTACGCAGCCCTCATCTCCTTCACTATTCGAGGCTAACGTCACCAGTGAGCAAGCACAAAGATGTCCTCAAGACACAACACGACGACAACGATGACGGTCCACCACTCGACAACGCCCAGAAAGCTGTCTTGGTGACCGAACGCGCAACAAGCTTCGCGACAACTGCGTCACAGCTCCAAGCTCTCGAAGACCAGCAGATACCCACCGCCGATGGCTTCGCCAAGCTAGCTGTGTTGCGACCGCGTATTGCCGAAGCAGAAGAGCGCCAACTACAACAAGCACTGAAGATATCCGAGCTGCGGAAAAGGAACGGCTTGCTGAATCAGCGGTACCAACAGGTCATGCTCCTTGGCGCAGGAAGATGCTGGGTCGACTACGACGAGAGGCTGAGGAAGGCCCTGAGAGCGCTTGTGCGAGAGGAATATAGGAGAAGGCCTGCCGAGGAGGAAAAAGGCGTGGCACGCGAAGAAGAAGAGGGCGAGCAGAGTGAATCTGAGGAGGACGAGCTGTGAGAACTGTCAGCATCACGCAACAGTTCACCGAACCAAGAATGCCACGCTCGGTGCCATCAGTCTCCGCGCAGAAGCACCAATCGCCTGCTGAGACACCGTACGTCCATTACTATTTTCTCAACCACGTTGTGTTGACGGTACGTGGACTTTATGCGTTGCGCAAATACCGACGTCAGACGGTTTCAAGGCGTGGCTGACAGATGCCAGGTGCTTCATATGTACCTTGGGCGCACTCGTCACAGCCACAGCCGGTACCCGCGACCATCATTCTAGTTTTGCACATCTGATAGAGGCTCAGCAGTCTGGGCGGGGCATGTGGACCAGATCAGCAGCGAGCATGTGGACCGGTGTCACCATCGTTGCAGCGATCCAGAGTCGCGCATGTTACAAAAGCGACGCGTTGCCTCGGATCAAGCAAGCATCCGAAAGTGACATATTGCAAAACAAACTTCCCGATGATGACGACGGCCATGGGAAAATTGATGCGTGGTACAGTAACGTACGTCAATTGACCTTTGCACCCTGACCGGAAACGCTTTGCCATGTCACAGGTAGCAGGCGCAGATAGTTCAAACACGAAAAGAGTTTGTAAGCGCCAGCTTTTTCTTGCTGAATGATGTAAAGTGAGGTCAAGTGAGGGTCTCAGCAACTTTGTAGGGCTGCGGAGGGTTCGGTGCCGTAGCACGGCGTTTCATGACCGTCTCGTGTCAGCTTGGTGACCTGGCCCAGGGCCCCGAAGCGTAATGGCGCCGACAATGGTCCGGACGTCAATTTCCTGGCTCGCCTGGGAACTACTGCGCCTAGACACAGCTTCAGCCGCAAATGGACGCGGCGCACGTGTCGGCTACCATGGGTAATCAAGACAGGCCATGGGGAAACGTGGATGGCATGCCTTGACGGCGACGCAGGGTGCACATGAGATTAGCCAGACTTGTGCAGTGGAATTGCAGCTGTCAGACCAGTTGTGTATGACAGCAGCGGTGTAGATTGTCGATTTAATCAAAGTACCACATTTCGGACGGGGATGTCCTGTGTGTGGGAGGGTTCTCGGGGTGTTCTTGAGTGACGAGTCGAGGATGCATGATGAGGCGTCGCCATGTATTGGGATCCCTTTGAGCGACGTACCTAGGTAGTACTAGTTGCGCCACGTCTTGGCTTGGCGTATTGAAGAGTGGATGGTGAATGTGTGGTTAATGGATGCGAACAGCTGATGACATTGTTCAAGGCTCAGTGGATGAGATGCGCACAGCGAAGTAAACACAGCAAACACACAGTAGACTTTGTCTGTGTACGGCGGCTCGACGGCCACCAAAGGCACTAATGCACTAAACGCGCGTGCAGCTGTCCAGGCCTTTGGCTGACGGGCGCGGTGCCATTTTAATCTCTGCACAAGTGGGACCCGCAGCGCTGCAATCCCCGAACAACCCTTAGCCATTCCAGCCGGCGCGGCCAATCGAGAACTACTGGGAACCCAAGGTGAAACCGTCGCATCTCTCGCTCTGCTCCCGCCCTCGCCCGTAACCCTCCCTCGACACCCACCGCCTGCTGCCATAATCCAACTTCACGCAGCCGCCAGAGTCGCAGAAGCCTTGCGCGCCCACCAACACTGCTGGTCACTGGACGCCCGCCTCCCGCTGCTCGCGCCCTGTGCACCGTTCGCTGCCCTGCACAACTCCACCAACGCGCCGATATACTGGCCCAACGCCCACAACACTCTTTGACTCTCGACATTCACCCATAATACCGCATCGGGCACCCACGCTCTTTCCCGCTCTTCCTGCTCTTCCTGCGCCCGCGACAGCATAGCTTAATCGCCCCTTTCCCCGCCGCTTCCACCAACACATGCCCGCTTACGGCTCGCTGGGCGGCTCTCCTTCACTACGCAAAATGGAAAACGGAGGCTACGGCCAGAGGTCCCAGGGCTTCAGCATGAGCCGCATCATCGGGGATCCCTTTGCGCTGGCCACGATATCGATTGGCATTGTGAGTAGCCCGGAGTACGCGGCAGTCGCGGGATCTGGTCGCTAACGTGGTATACAGCTCGCCTGGGTCATCGCCTTTGTCAGCTCCATAATATCAGCCATCCACGGCGGCTTCCCCAACTTCGCCTGGTGGACGCTCGTCTTCATGTTCTTCTGCATTGCGGGCGTCACCGTTACGGTCGCCTCGGATGCGGAGAGGACGTACCATGTCGCAGTGAGTAGCCGTCACTGCCTACCACGCGAACGCACTTGCTAATTCCAGCAGATCGTGGGCTTCCTTGCCGCCGGCCTGGTCTTCACCACCTCATCCGTCAACTCGCTCGTCTACTCGCCCGTCGCTCCCTTTGAAGCCGCGGCTGCCGGCTACATCCTCCTCTCCATGATTGCCGTAAGTCATGCCAGCACGCCCCCCACCAGTCCCAACTAACATGCCCAGATCGTCTGGATCTTCTACTACGGATCGCAACCGCAAGCCAGCCACCGCGCCTTCGTCGACTCCTACGCCCTGCACAAGGAGCACCCCGGCTCGCGCTCATCCCGCCCCATCTCCAACGGTTACACCAACCGGCCCGAAACCCAAACCGCCAACATCCCGCCGCAAATGTACACATCCGCCCAACTAAACGGTTTCGAAACCTCGTCGCCCGTCTCCGGCTACCCCGGCGGTCCCGTCGGCGCAAACGGCCGCAACAGCTCAGCCCCCCAGTTCGGCGGCATGAACAACAACGTCTCGACTCCCACAAACGACGACGCAAACAACCAGCAAGAAGCTTCCATCGAGTACCCGTACCGCGCCAAGGCTATTTACAGCTACGAAGCCAACCCGGATGACGCGAATGAGATCAGCTTCCAAAAACACGACATCCTCGAAGTCTCGGACGTGAGCGGACGGTGGTGGCAGGCTAAGAAACCAAACGGCGAGACGGGTATCGCGCCCAGCAACTATCTCATCTTGTTATAAGAGAAGAAGAAGAGAAAGGGCGCGGAGAGACTGGTTCTCTTACACCAAACCCTTCTTTACGACCCTGCCACGAATGTTTCCTTGCCTTGTCAACTTTCTACTCTACACTTCCATGTGCACAGCTACATCTTCTGAAGGGTGCTCGCTTCGACAGCCAACGCGGAGCTGGAAAGGAGAGAATTTATGTGGGTGTTTTAGGGCGATTGGATATTTGACACCGTGCAACACAGAAAGTTGCGCACACGGGTGTTACTGTGGCTACCATACCTTTCTGCACGATACCCAAAGTTTCCCGTTTTTGTCTTTTGTTTTTCCTTCGCTTCTACATTCAAATCAGAGTAATTCTAAATCTTTTGTTCGTTTTACTCTTTGAACCTTTCTTCTGCTCTATTCACTTCACACGAGCTGTGAGTATGTTGAAACCGTCTACCCTTCTTGCCTAGCCTTCTTGTCATGTATTTTATGTATCTCTGTTTTTGCGTTGAGTTCATCGGCTTCCAATGTGAAAGCAGAGCAATGGGTGTTTTTCGGCATGTGAGAGGGTAGTTTTCGTGGTTGTATCTCATGAAATTGAGACAGAGGAGATAAGTGGGTGTATGCATTAGCCTCAGCAAGCCGGGTATTTTTCAGCGCGCAACAAGTAGCGGGAAAATTAGCGATTAGCGATTAGCGATTGTGTGGAGGAAATGAAGATTGTATAGAAGCAACAAGAGAGAGAGGAGTAAAGAATGCAAACTTGACTGAACTCATCAAAATGTGCGTGCTTTACTTTCTGCGTGAAGACCATGCTTTCACCTGTCCGCATGTTAAAATAGTTTAGCAAGTGAGGATTCCTTAGTTTATAGTAAGAGAATAAGATTGGGTATCTAAACGCCTGTCCAAGGAGATGCAACCAACGCCTTGTTATATCCAAGCCTCAGAACGCCGTATCCGTACATAAATCTCCTCGACGGTCAATAAGAACCATGACCCTCGAGCGATAATCCGTCTCATACTCGGCCATACAAGCCTCTAAATAATATACCGCCTCCATCCATTAGGGACAAGACATTTCTTCCCACTGTCATCCGGGCCCATACGGAACCGCTCCCATCGCGCATCATACCCAGCGCCGAGAACAAGGATAGTCTCATCGTCGAGCCATCCGATGAGCCCCTTGGTCGGTCGGCCGCCCGGCACACCCGGAATACCTGCACTCAGAGTAGCGGACCTACCGTGTGGACCCCAAGTGGTAGGCTCGTCACCCATTTCGAACTTGGCCGTAGCCGTAGGATATATATCTGAAAACGCGCGGGGCAAACCAGGGATCTTGGACAAGATACCATACTTGTGCTGCGACGGATCGGCTTGTGAAGAGGCATTTGTCGCGGTTACGAGGTCGTAGATGTGGAGGCTGGATTTATCGGATGTCACGGCGAGGGTCGAGCCGTCGGGGGAGAAGGCGAGGGAGAAGACAGCAGCGGGGTCGACGCCTCGGCGGAGCTCTGCTAGTTTCGTGCAGGACGGGAAGGACCATAGTCGGATGATAGTGCCCTTCTCGCTGGCTGTTGCGATGAGGTCGCCGTTCCTGCTTATGCCGATTGCGCGCAACGGGCTTTCGTGAGCGGGTATGATACTCACATTGCCTGTGTTGAGATCGTAGATCTTGACCTGGCCCGCCGCCCTTCCTGGAAATGCGACGATGCTCGTGCCCAGCTCACACAGCCCGAACGGGTTATTGACGGTCTCGTACTCCGCCGATTTGACCGGCGGCACCTTCATCTTGTATATGCATATCGAGTTGAGCAGCGCGACGATCATGTGTGACTGCGAGAGGCGCACGCGCTGGACGGGCGTCTTGAACTCGGTAGATGTGGTGAAGCGCTCGGTTTTGTCGTTCCAGATTTGGACCTCGTAGATGATGTCAGTGTCGTTGACGCTCCAGTCGGGGTCCTCAGGAGGTACCTTGTTCTGGGGGTACTTGGGCTGCTTCCCTCCTCCGACCAGGGCGATGTAACTCTTGTTGCCGAGCATCTCTGCGCAGCCGATGCCGCCGCCGACTTCTGTGGGGGTGTTAGTGGGATGTGGTCGGTATTTAGGATAGGGTGCTACCTCTGGAAATCTTCTCTTCGCATGTTGAAGACGAGAATACTGGAGGTGTTAGCAGGGGCCTTCAAGATGTATGCGCGCGTCATACCGCGAAACCCGTTCTCCAGGGCTACCGAGAAGTGCGAACAGTCGGCGTTGAAGGATGCCGAGAGCACAAAGGGCCCGGCATCCGAGTCTAGAATGGGCCGGGTGTTCATGCTGGGCGCAGCGAATAGAGCGGATGTTTGTACGGGAGGTTGTTTCGACTGCTCAAGTGGGGCGTCTTAAGTGCAGTGCGGAGGTGGGTGGAGCGCTGTGCTGAGATACTTCGGACTTAAAGTGGCCAGCAAACGGCGCCGACAGCGTTATCGCGGTGTATGAAAGTATGCTAGGCCCATTTTATCAGCAGCGACTGAGGCAAGGCGAGAGTGAATAGCTGCGAGAGGGTTGGTTGATAGCGATATCGAGGGTCCACGGCTCCTCCAAGAGCTCGGTCACGCCCACGGGATCCACCTGAGCTCTCCCGGCGCTAGCCATCTAGGGCAAGCGCGACTTGAGGACCTGATGGATGAGCAACGATGCTTTTGGGCACCATCAATCCCATTGCTATGACCGGAGAATTACTACCACCTCCCGCGCAGAGCCGCACGTGAGTGATGGGATTCTCTAACTTTCCATTTCAAGTTATAATGTTGAGCTTCGAGACCCTGATAAAGTACCCCGCTGAATACTGCTACCGGGCAGAACAGCGCGCAGACATTGGAAAAGCACCAACGCGTTGTGCTTGCCAACTACACATACTCGCAATACAATTCGTGATCAATGTCAATTCGCAATCACTCGTGTTGTACATCTTGCCGAAATCAGTCGCGCCAGGTGGTCGCGCCAAGAACGAGACTGCGACCGGGGTGTTTCCCGCTAGCGAGCCCCTTTGCATCGCGCAGGGAGTAGCTGCCAACGTCCCCAAATTTCCACGACGACACCGCTCCAACACCACACCACAGACATACGCCCCCGTCTCACCCCCAAGCAGTCTCGCCTCATCGCTAAATTGTCTCCATTGCGTGTGCACCCCGCCCATCCACCACACCCATCACATTCACCGCCCCCGAGTTCATCATGTCTTCGGTACGACGCTCCCCAACACCACGTCTCCCTCAGGCCACAATGCCGCCCTACCCACCACCACACCACCTGCCATTGACCACACCCGCTAACAATGTCTCAGGCGCTTAACAAGACGCGCAGAAAGAAGAATGTCAAGAAGGGTATCCAGTTCTGTCTGATGGTCTGTGGTGCCTCTGGTACCGGCCGGACGACCTTTGTCAACACCCTCTGCGGCAAGCAGGTGCTCGGACACAAGGAGGTCGACGATCCAACAACGGCACACGTCGAGGAGGGCGTCAAGATCAAGCCCATCACAGTCGGTACGTCGCCCTGATAAGGACCAATGGCTATCATCATCGCGTGCGGCTGCTAACAAACATTAGAACTCGACGAGGAGGGCACCCGCATCTCGCTCACCATTGTCGACACACCCGGATTCGGAGACCAGATCGACAACGAGGCCAGGTAGGCATCTTCTAGGACTTACCACAACCCACGCTTACCCTCCGCAGCTTCTCAGAGATCGTCGGCTACCTCGAGCGACAGTACGACGGCATTCTCGCAGAGGAATCGCGTATTAAGCGTAACCCCCGATTCCGCGACGACCGTGTACATGTCCTGCTCTACTTCATTACACCCACCGGTCACGGGTATGTATGCCGATCTCCTCTGCCAGCTCCAGCTAACACGCGAAAGTCTCCGTGAACTCGACATTGAGCTTATGAAGCGCCTCTCACCCCGCTGCAACGTCATCCCCGTCATCGGCAAGGCTGACTCCCTCACACCCGCCGAGCTCGCCGAGTCGAAGAAGCTTGTCATGGAGGACATTGAGCACTACCGCATCCCCGTGTACAACTTCCCCTACGATATCGAGGAGGACGACGAGGACACCGTCGAGGAGAACGCCGAGCTCCGCGGCCTGATGCCCTTCGCCATCGTTGGATCCGAGGACATTGTTGAGATCAACGGCCGACGGGTACGGGCACGCCAATACCCCTGGGGTATCGTCGAGGTCGACAACCCCCGCCACTCCGACTTCCTGGCTGTGCGAAGCGCCCTCCTCCACAGCCATCTTGCCGATCTCAAGGAGATTACGCATGACTTCCTATACGAGAACTACCGTACCGAGAAGCTTAGTAAGAGTGTCGAAGGTGGTGCTGCTGCGTAAGTTTTGTCCCCGCTCTACTATAATATCAGTACTAACATCCTACAGTGACTCGTCGATGAACCCCGAGGATCTTGCCAGCCAGTCAGTGCGCTTGAAGGAGGAGCAACTGCGACGCGAAGAGGAGAAGCTGCGCGAGATCGAAGTCAAGGTCCAGCGCGAGATCAACGAGAAGCGGCAGGAGCTCCTGGCCCGCGAGAGCCAGCTGAAGGAGATCGAGGCCCGCATGAACAGGGAACAGAGCGGCCAACTGCAAGACCACGACGCAGACGAGGCTTAGATGACGCCAACACACCTCGCTTTCAGGATCCGGCTGTTGCATCTCCTGCGGTCTTGGTCAAGCACGGGTAGCGCGCTTGCCACGGGAAACCATCGAGTCGTCAAAAGGTGTATTGATCATCACAGCTGCGGGCGTTTGTAATAGGTGGCTTGTGCAATGCCGACACGGAAGGGACATGGTCGGATGCCGGGCTTCATTTCTTCTTATTTGGGGGCCTTCCATCTTTTAGCCGACAGTGATAGCTCCCTTGGATCACGTCTGTGGTTACACTGTCCTCGACATGACACTGCTTCTCGTATGTTTTCTTAGCTTTTTCGATACTTATTCCCCCGCCTTTTGGTCCTTCATGTAGGAAGTAGTAATTAACATTCTAATATCACC